TCGCTCAAGTGCCGAGGGCTACCTGTTAGGGCTTGCTGCAATATCTGTTCTATGCTGCTCCTTGATGCGAGCGGCTCATCATTGGCCGGAGATGGAAGTGCAGGGAACAGTGGGAAAGTCTTACCTGTGCAAACCGCCGAGGTTTTGACGATCAGGTTCGGTCTTGCGAACAGGGTGTCTCAAAGAGAATGCATTCTGTAGATGAAGTCAGTCAAACTGAGCGTGGCGAGTATTATGGACAGGTGAACTCGAGGAAGTGAATCGATCAGATTGACCCCGCCAGTGGTCGCCCACTGGGGATGAGTATCATCATAGACGCTTAAAAACGATGTTTGTGGACGGTGAGGGTCGACTTAACTTCGTGGTAGAGTATTTGCTCGCAGACCATGGGAGAGCATCCAATCAGTAGATGCTGGTTGTCTAGCTGTGAGATGTCAGAACCAGGTGCGCAAAGCCAGAAAATCGTGATGGTAGATGCGAGGTGAATAGAGAGGTCAGATTGTAACTGTTTCGACAATGCTTTCGGTCGGAGCCAGGTAGGCGCCATTTCGCGGGCTTCGGAACAACTCGGTTTGTATCATCATTCCAAGATGGGCAAGGGCAGGGGCGCTTCCAGGTACTAAACTTACCTGACGTTGATCGCCTTGTTCATCCTTTTGAAAAGCTACTAGTGTGAGGATGGATGGACGGATGTGCTCTGCATGTCGGTCTCTTCATCGATGTGTGCGGCGGCACTGACTGCCAGCATACTGCTTCGTGGGTGTCAGCATCTGCAGGAGGGTTCGCTAAGCTTGCATGATAGTGGCTCGGAGATTCTGGCGATCAGACATGTATCTGTGTCGCACATCGCCTTCATACTGGCAGCCCGGAGGCATCATACTGGCGGGCTTTGCGTCCACGAACTTGATCATCCTGTCGAGAGTGGAGGTTGATGTAGGAGTGGGGAAATGACTTGCCTCTTGATGACTTTTTTCGTTGAAAAAGGGATCCTTATGGGTGTAGGCTGCGTGAGTTCGTGAAAGGGAAAAGAGACTTCCAGTCTGTCGTGGTGCGTGAGGTTTTGATGCTTTTGAATTCATGAGTCAGCCAGTGCGTTGCAGTAATGGACTCCCAGCAGGCGAGGATGCGGAAGGCTAGCCACCGGGCTAGGGAGGGGGGGATATGCTTGGATATCGAAGTTGCAACGAAGACATCAATCAGACAGACTTTGCGATCGATGACCGCCAGATCATCATGTCGCGATGAAGGGATTGATTGCATTTGTCGAATTGCTGCGGTGCGGGCGGTGGGTCTAGAATAACAGCGCCGGTGGACATACGTACAGCGTAGGGGGGGAGCGTGGTAGCCCTTTCCGCAGTATTTGCTTTGACAAGTCAGCTGTTGCGTTGTGACTCACGGTATGAGGTAGGTAGAGATGTAGGCAATGGTAGTCAGAAAAGTTGWTGTTTTTGCACACGACCATCACGCGGCTTGCGTGGACAGAATTCGCGTTTGCGTACTGGTATCATCATATCGCGACGAAGGGAATCTTTCTGGGATCAGTCAGTGGCTTACCTCCTGATGGTGTGCTTTTGTTCGGCGGTGAAAGGTGGGAATCGTGGCGGTCATTCGCGGGCCTCTGTTGTCGAGCCGGAAAGGCGTACGCGTTGAGTGCGTGCGAGAATATGACAGCTCAAGTCATTCGGATAGCCTGTGTTCGTGATCGTCAGCCATACTGCCGCGATTCCTGACACGAAGCAGTAAGGTGTGGAGGTAGGTGTGATCAGACTAGGGTATAGATTTGTTTCGCACATTGCCTTTTCTGTGAAATGGGCTTTGCGAGCGACGCATCCTTGAGTCATCATCTCTCGATCTCGTGATGTCCGATGGAGGGGTATGAGAAGAACTTGCCTTGCGGACCTTCTGCTACGCGTCGCCGCTGTTGCGTGTGGGCCGTCGTGTAGTTTCACCGATGGACGGCTCTCGCTGGAACACAACCCTGTGTCCGCAGAAGTCAGCTGAGGCACGGCAGCTCTTGACAGAGAGTAGTGAGGTGTTGAATGGGGGTGATCAGGCTGTGCTGGACTCAATGCGCACATTGCCATTGCTGTAAGGATGGGCTTTGCATATCAAGCGACATCTTCATCATCTCACTGTGTAGTAATGATGGTTGGAGAATTGTGAGAGGTACTTGCCTTTTCTTTCTGCTGCTCAGCTTCGCTGCGTTTGTGCGTGCGATGCAGAGACGCGCCGAGGGAGGAATGTCAGAGGAGGGTGGGCTGCGGTTGGGCGGTGCATCGTTGCGTAGTAGTTCTGCGGATGTGACGAGGTGGATACCGGCTGATCTGAATGTCGACGGGGATGTTGATGTGCATGCGGTGGTGTAGMTGACGAGTTTGTTGACGAATTCGACGAAGGGCATCCGCTCACTTCAGCACAGACCAATGCCCAGGTTTCCAACGTGGATTCAGGCGAGATCAGGCCCATCGGTTTCCACGAGCTTGGAAGCTTTCAAGCAGCACCGATACTTACAAGACAAGCAATTCTTCCTGCACGGCCGTTCTCTGTTTATCGAATAGACCGAACTAGTACCTTGAAGTCCGCCAAAGCCTCGCCTTCATTCATCAGAGTCGGAACTCTTGGGTAATCAAAGCAAGGTTCTGTAACATCACCCAATTCCAAGGAGTCTACCCCAGCAGTTTTTAAACTGGTCGCCAGATAATGCTAACTACCGGACTCCAATGACACAGGGTTCTTCTAAGTCTACTTAATGCTGCCTGTCCACTCCTTTGGCATGTACCTGAAGACGATCCACGGTCCAGAAAGATAGCATTACTCTACAGACATGAAAAGACGTCGACGACATTGCAACGCGCCAGGAGAGCTTGCTGGTCTCGCCGACCCAGCGTCTCTTGAATGCAGCGGAAGATGGCCATCTACGCTCACGGGAGGCCACACGGCAACTTAACTTGGCCACAACCTCGCGCCGAACGACAACGTTTCGGTCCCGGCAGATGATTCATTCACTTACCTCCCCTCTCGCGGATCGATCTTTCCGCAAGATGATAGCGGAGGAAAGCGCGTGCACAGTGCACTCCTTAGACACGTCGACATAGGCAGTATCTTTGGAAAGTTCCTCCAAGAGGAGCTTACGGGCATCGACCGACTTCAAGGCAACGCGCCGCGCCTACAGTTTGGTTTCGTTGGGAATGGAGAATTCGTCACAGCCATGTTGGGCGAACCGATTCTCGAAGAGGACCATCCTATTGGCGACGTGGTCGTTAAACAACTGCGAGCCCTCATCAACCTCCTTAACGGCGCGCCTATGACTCTCAGCTAAAAAGAGGGCGTTGCGGTTCTCTTGCGGACTCTTACGAGCGACGATACCAGGCGAATCAATTATAAGGTCCCGAAGGAGACGATTGCGAAGAGGAACTTCGGTGCTGGTAGGAGGAACCACGACCTCCGCAGCCACTTTGGCAGGAGTCTTTGACGCTGGCAGAATTGGCGTTGCGCTCCTCCTCAGCCTCGTCTTCGAAATCAGTCACATTCTTCTGCTATCCTGGAGAAACCGGAGATATCAAGCCTCAGTTGCGATATCGACTCCAAGGATTGTGACAACGACGCTCAGCGACGTGAACTTCTCCATCGGGACATCTTTTAAGCATTGCCTGCCACGCGCTTAACTTTACATGACGCGACCAGGGAGAACGGGTCAGCTAAAATGGCGAGTCTGTTTCTGCAACGCACCTACGGACAACGCTCAAGCGTAGAGGTCACGATACAGACCGCCTCTCGCGCTCATCCAGTGGCAGTGACCCACAGCTCGGGGAATCCGGGCCGCCCCTGCATCGTCTAGCAGCAGTGAGCATCTTCAGATATTTGGCCGGAGGCTTTCATAGTCTGTTTGCTGACTTCTCAGCCAACGACGATTTCAACGCACCGCCACCGCAAGACATCATGTCTGCCCAAAGAGATACCCTCAGCCTGGACCTTGACACTTTGAGTACGGAGCAAGATTAAAGGGACCGGTGGATGAGCGTCCATTACCAACGAGCGCTTTGCATCCTTTAGAACATCAAAAGAGCGCGGGCAAGCGGGTGGCATTCTCCGACACGGCACCAGCAGGGGATTGCAACAGCCACGGGCATCCACACCGGACCGAATTGACATTGAAGCAGACGTAGAGAAGCCGGAGGTGTCGGGGGGTATCAATAGCTCCGGCAGCAACAGGTTTGGAAGTGGGCGAAGGTACGCAGTTTTCGGTCTGAAGTTCGACGTTCATTGGTTTGCCTACACTGTCGGCGGCAAGACTGTTGCAATTTTCAGATTTCTTCATCAAACGTCTCCGCGTATAATGGTCTCAGACTTTCACTACTATCGCTCGAAGCCTTCGCCACCTCCTGTCTAAGGTTTTTTCCAGGCTAAGCGCGATGAAGCTTGTGTACACAGGCTGAATCTGCAAGTCTTTGCTCTGTTAGGTGCGTGGTTTGATCGCTGCCCAGGCTCACAGTTACTGTCCTTGATGTTCTAGCGAAAGGCGAGTTTTGGCCAGGCCCGGATCCGCGTCTGGCTGGTGGAAGATGGATGCCACACCAGCCGGGAACTCGCATATCTACAGAAAACAGACACCCAAAGGCGGGTGCGCGAACTTTATCATCATACCCTGAAGGCGATGTAGTCCTGTTGGCGATCACAACTCTTCTGCGGGTCGTTTGAACTACACGTTGAAGCCCCTTTTGCTCTACATCGAACATAAGCGCTTTTGAGTGTACGACTCATCTGTCTTAGGAATTACATAGCATCGTCCTTGACAGATTGTTCAGAAGTCACTCCAGCTACCGCAGTCTGCGACCGCAACAATTTATTGACTTGGCGAATTGGTKGAACAAGCGAGCCAATTCTGCACTAGCAAAGTCAAAATCGCTTTTTCGGGCGACTCGCCGATCTTTTCAAGTTCTTTCGCTTCAGCTCCAGACCACTTCCGAAACTTCAACTTCAACATCAACATCAATCGCGAAATGAGTTTGCCACGTCCGCTCAACTGGCTCGACATGCTCGACGAGCGCATCGGCGAACTTGCCCCTGAGCTTTTCGACATGATCAAGGACGAGGTGTTCAAGACCCCTCCCGGAGAGCGCGATGTTCTGGACATAGCTCGACATCGCAACGTGATTTCCAAGGTACGTCAACAACCTCCTCCATCATATCTCTTCGTCGTCGAGCGAGCGGCCGGCTTCCGAGGAGGTCTCTAGAACTCCACAACCCAGCAACTGCTTCAAGACGAGAAACGGCGCACTGCTAACCTCCTCACAGGACCTCTCCTTCATGGCCTTCGACCGCAAGACGCGTGCTCAATACGCCGCCTGCTACTACGGTCTTGGCTCCACCATCCTCATCACCAACATGAAGCACCTTGGAGCCTGGTTAGCCTCACTCCCATCCGACCACATCCCTCTCCTCGAGCACGTAGACTGCTTTCGTCCCTCGCGTGTTCTGCACCCTTGGCTGCGCTCTTGGTTCAGCCTGCCCGCTTTTTATCAACACCAGTGGGAGGTCCACAGCTATAACCTGGATGAGTCTGCTATTAAGGATATTGCGCGTATTTACGGTGGGGAGGAGTTGGCGAAGAAGGTTTGGATGGTTCGACCAGGCGATCCGATTGATCTGCTTCTGAAGCAGGAGGAGTTCGAGGCTCATCAGCCGGTGTTTCAGCGAAATGCTCCATCGTACCCATCGTACCGATACGGATTCGTGRGGGGATACTAAATCTTGAAGATCACCGCATGCGGTTCTGGTGGAGCACCTCACTGCTCCTTGAACTTCGACAWGGTGAGGACATTCTCTCGACCAAGGGGACAGTGCTGGACGGGAGATCAAGCGGTTCAGCACCGACTGGCGGGCCAACTACTCATGGTTTACTATACAATCATCAAGGTTTCAAAACTTGGTCATGTTCTTGCATTCACATCTCAACTCACTTTCCATCCTACGCGTCCAGAATCTTAATGCCAGTGTCTCGCGAGCCTGTTCTCGGTCCATCAAGCATTGACCGGCTCTGGAAGAAACCAAGGCGATGGGAAGGTGGCATGTATTTGCTTCCTGCATGGATGATCTGGGGGTTTCTACCTGCACGGAAACACTCAAAACCATGACACCCGCAAGTTTCAGCATTCCTTTCATCAGCTCGAGTTACTGGCGGTTGAGAGATCCTGCACGCCATACATTTATTTGATCGCCTCTCATGCTTATTACCGCACCAGAAGAAGCTCTCTGCTGCGTGTGTGCCTTGCTAGAACAACACTGTATTGAATCTGATCGAACTACTGTACAGAATGGAAACCCCAAAATGAAAGATCCCAGCTGAAGAACTCCTTAAAGCGTACGCCTTTACCGTGTAATGTCCCGATACCTTCAAGCCAACTGCGTCCTCGCCTTACGCTACGCCTTGTTTGCTTTCTTCGCGTTCAGATCTCGCTCCTTCGCTTTACGCTGCGCCTTGTTCGCCTTCTTCGCTTTCCTCCTCAACTTCTCGAAAGTCGTACCCATCCTCGCCACCTCATTCTCAATACTCGCAAGGGTCACAAAGTGACTCTCCTTACGACCTAYGCCCTTCCACACAATCCCATGTATGTACTTCACCCGAGGGGCTGCCACCAGGCCAAACTCCTTTTCCAGATACTGATGGCACATTGCTTCGATCTTGCCGTCCATCCAATTCAGCCTCTTCAGGGATCCAGTCACCGCAGCGGGAAGGCCGTCGTAGGCTGTGAAAGCCGCCTCGTATGTCTCCACCCACCATTCCTGGCTTCCCATTCCTCGAGCAATCGCATCGACGCCGCAGAAGTGCCGCAACATGTACGAGTTCAGGTGGTTGAGCTTCTTCGCCTGCCTGGGATGTCTAATGTTCGACTCTTGAGGTTTGCTGAATTGGTCGTGCACTCCCGTGCAAATATCAATGCAAGTATCCCACCGCTTGTGATCTTCGGTGACCTGTAACGCCGATCGTCTCTCGAGCAGCTTGAAGGTTTCTGTAAAGGTGTAGGGGAAATCGATGCCGAAGAGAAGGTGTAGAAGCTTGCGAACGTCGCTCTTGTAGAGGTAGTAGCTGCGGTCCCAGCACTCAGTAAGCGGCACAAACTTCAGGCGGGTTATCATGTCGTGAGCGTGGATGTGAAGCCCTTTCAACACCCCGATATCTTTGGAAGATTAGCTCAAGCTTTAAAATGCGGGATGGATAGGGTCGTACTGATGAGGTGCTGCTCGCAGTGCAGCTTGAAGCACTCTTCGCAGAAGCGCATACCATCGCTTTTCTCAAGTGTCGACAACCCCGTGACCTCCAAACACGAAGGCGACCGGCATCGAAGACGCTGCGATCGGGGAGGCTGTTCAGCCAAGAAGAACACTTCGAGGTTACTTAGCAACGCCTCTGCCTTGCCTCCGACCGCGGTGAAGCGCATCTCCTCGTCGGATTAACGCAATTTGCGTAGCAAGCTGTGCATAGACTGATGGTGACTGGAAAGGTCGTTCGACACAAGAACCTCTTCAGGATCGGCCCCAAATTTTTCAAAGAGCGCAACGTATGTCTGACTCTCGTACCAAGCAGGAGTGAAGCCCGGGTTCTCATCATGGAGCGCCAGACTTGCCGCTTGGCCCACAACATCTCGATTCAGGCGTCTTGMACGTGTCATGGTAGCCACATCTGCACTGGGGGTCACCGGTTCGTCGTTGAACGGAACTCCAGAGATTTGGCCCCTGAAGTGTGGTCCAAGAAGGAAGTCGCGACTGATGAAGGAAGTGCGGAAGAGTTCGTGGCGGCGTTGACGGAGAAGAATCTGAAATAGCCTCATCGAGGTTCGAGCAAGACGAAGCTGGTCGGTTATGAGGGGAATTTGGCGCATAATTACTTCTTCCACCTCAACTGGCAGAGCCATCCAAAAGCAGGGGCCCCACGGCGGAGCGATGGCAAGCGGAGGGCCCGAAGGAATATGCGTCTGTGTAGGATGTGTCGGCATACTCATGGTTTCGTTGTGCGTGACGTGGAAGGTTGAAGTGTTGGTTTTAGATGCGGGAATGGAAGGATGGACGGTGGATGGTGGAGGTGGAGATTTGTAGGTTACACGAAATCTTGGCAACTTCGCGACAGCCCCTGCCTCCTTCCCAGACGCTCTTGTGTTCATTCCTTCCGTGCATGCTGTGCCTTCCCTACCTGCTGCGGGAGTATAATGATGTCAAACCGATCAAAAATTGACCGGGCAGCAATCCAAGGTTTGAGAAGGAGGTAGGTCAGCCCCCTAAACAGCTCACACGATCATGCCTTGCTAGATCTTCTTCACGCCCTGCTCCGTTCTCGAAGTAGGATTGCTCAACGGCATTCTACTCTCTCTGGCAAGACACGTCGAACTCTTGGATGAGAACGGCTGCTCCTGACGAGACGGGGCTGGAGCGGGCTTGACGCGACCCGGCTCGTGGAAAAGAGTATTTTGTTACAGCGAGGAGATACCTCCAAGGTACAACATCTATTCGCTGACCATGAGCAGCTTCAACCGCGACGAACTCAAGGCATACAAGGTCTCATTTGTTCCACAAGCAAACCACGTCGTCGCCCTTCCGACGCTATTCTTCATCCACGGCTCACCACGGTCGTCCTTTTGACGCGTTTTCCCACCGACAAATCGCAATGCTACAGATCGACACTATGCTCCGGTGGAGATTATGGATACCGACGCKTCGCGACGCAAAAATGACAACTTGAGGCCGTTGGAAGATTGAAGGATAGAGGGGGGATCAAACTCAGCCCCGAAGAAGCTCTCACATCCTTACTACACTTGCCACTTTACATAGTGAGCGTAAGAGCTGTACCTTTCGCCTACCTTACAGTTCTTTCCTATGCCTCCGGGTGACACAGAATATGTAGCTACGCGTAGCTCTTCCGCCGTTTCCACCAAGACGCGTCTCCACCGCTTTGTTCTTTCGCGGCCAGAGTAATGCGGCCTGTCTCTCCATCTACCCACCTGCCTGAGGGTAACAGAACGTCTTTGGGACGAGTAGAGTATCTTGCTGGACGTGTATGCTCCGACAGATGGACCATGTAGTATTATCTCGTCTCCGGCATAGTACAGGGGAGCTGTACGCGATATGTCCGCGAATCTGCATCGTCTCAATCGATAGGACATCAAATGACAAGCAGCATCGAGCCGCAAACCAAGCAGTAGCCAGTTGTCCAGGCAGTTGTTGCCTTTCTCTCGTCTAAGCATGTAGCCCATCTCTTTTGTAGCCTTCCCGATATCCAGCTCCGACACTCGTAGAACTTTTTCTCCTGTAACCTTCAGGGCGGAAGTCATACAACCATGAGTAGATCCTTGGACAGAGTGCGACGAGTGMAGAGAAATCGCTTCCGTCGGTACTCCTCCGTATTCTTGTTTAGGTGAAGTCTCGTAGATGAAAGGCTGCGTTTAGAGCGGCAATCCTCGTTCTGCTCGTCTTCTTTGGCCCCGTGGTTTGTGGAGAAGGATGCCGCATCTCAAGCTGACCCAAGTAAACGCTCACCCGCAGCTTCCTTCTGGCACGAGTYGGTGTGATTAGCAGATTGCAGAGGATCCCAAGGTGCACTCGGCGATGACAGCGGTGCTTGGAAGATACTCATCGCGGCAATGTTAGACAATGGGGTGCTTGACGGAGAAGGCATTAGAAAACTCAAGAGAGCCTCCGACCGCGGATGCGTTGATATGGTCATCAAATGCATCACGTTGCGGTATTACGAACAGTCATTGTCAGTGAAGAAGTGCTCGTGAACAGTGACTATGGAGTTCATTAAGATGGGAGAGTGGTGGTGGCGGCCGCCCTTCCAGAGAGCCTCGTCGATATGGCCGAAAGCGGCGAAGGACATGGCTGGGAAATGGTCGACAAGCCCACCCACCAAGTCAGACATGATCTCCCGGGTAAACTCTTCAAGTCCCCGGGGAATTAGCAAGAGTATATAGAATCCAAAGTATCTGCTCTCTCCATCACTTCCGGAACGACCCTCCGGGAGTGATCCAGCCAACAAAGTAGTCAGGGATTACTGGTGAGTTGGCGCAGCGGATAGTGGCTAACATCTCMCAGTACACGTCACTCATCTCGGGATGTACGAGCTCTTTAGAGCATTGCTTTTTGCTCTTTTGCCCTCATAAATCCAAAACACATTTTTTTTTATCGTTCATAAAACCATATTACTCCCCTGGTCCACATCTGTATTGTACTTATTGCTCATGCAACCAACTGTTGTTGTCATTGCTGTATTCAATATTGCCGTGAGTTGAACACCTTCTTGCTCGCTGTTTTGGACTTTCTGTTTTGGGCTTGCAGCGGTGGCGTCACTTTACGTACCACGCGTAGGACCCACACCCCACCTCCTCCGCTACCGGCAACTCTCCAACGTGACACTGAATCGATGTAGCGATGCTCCGCCGTGATTGTATGAGCAGTGCTGTATGTGCAGCAGCAGTGGCAGATACTTCCCGCAGCGCATTCATCGATCGAGAAACAACTGCTGATATCGTGGCTACTCGCAGAGCTCCCACACTCACACCTCCTCCGCCGCTGACAACCCTCCACCGCACCACTCAATCGACGTCTTAATACTCCGCCGTGATTTTATGAGCAGTGCTACGTGTATAGCCGCAGTGGCAGATGATTCCCGCAGCGCACTCATCGATCGAGAAACAACTGCTGATATCGTAGCTACGTGCAGAGCTCCTACACCATCCTCAAGTCCGCTCGCGTCCCCAACCACTGGCTGTAGCGCCTGAGAACGCCGCTCACCTCCCTCCTGAAGCAACAGACAGCGCAATAGTACTMAGGGGAAGGCGCAGCAAAGGCTGTGCAAGGGACACACTGTCGGTCACGACTCCAGCACTTGCACAGACCGGCAGGACCACAAAGCTAGGAACGGAGGCGAGTATTCCATCCATCGAAGCTCCGCAAGCAATTCGTTCGTTTCCAAGATACAGCACCGCCAACCCTGAAGACCCCAGGAAAAACAGGCCGGCGCATGAGAAGACGCGGACACGAGAACACTGTTACTGTTGGCGGACACCTTCTCGAACTATATGCATGGAGGCAACATCGCTGGACTGGTGCTTGGGGTGGAGGAGGCAGCCACGTTATTGGCAAGTTCACGAAGCACAGTCTGGGAGGAGGGCAGAGTTACAGACTGAGAGACGGTACGCGTCATAAAAAACGGACAATAGATGAGCCCTGTACTTCGGACATGAACGACTCGCACGTCTTTCCATGTCTGCCTCTCGATACTCTTCTGTCCTCATCACCTGGCAGCGTTTGTCAACGAAGCTGGTTTCGCCCTCTTGAATTCTGGGGACTTTTGTAGAGGACAGACGAGGAGAGAAGTTTGCTGCATCTCCAGCGATGCGCCCAAGCTCTGGTGGAGGCACAGTCTGGAGATGAGCTATGCAAGCCACCTGGCCATCCCGCACGAGTTGTACACAAGATATGAAGGACAGACGTATGTAGCGAGAGAAGCAGAATTATCATCCAATTTGGCTACAGATGTGTCCGCAGCACCAAGTCGTCCCCATACCTAGATATCTTGTTTGGTCTCACATCTTCCATGGCGCGTCATGGAGTCATCCATTGAAGACCCATCGTCCAGCGAGTCCGCGGACCATAGTCTTCGCGTTTCAGCTTCCGATACGCGTCTCTTAAGAAGCCTGTAGTGAAAGATGCTCGATGAGAGTTCCATCGTCAAGCACACACACCGTAGAATATACTTGAGGCGAAGTTCCCCGTCCGGATGCTCCATTGTCCAGGGAGCATGCTGCCTGGGACCGTATTAGCCAGGCGGCATGTTGAACACGAGACCTTGGAGTAGCTGTAACATCCGAAGATCGCATCATCTAGAGAGCATGCCAGTGACCGTGATCAGTGGGAGAGGCATCTTGCCCAAGGGTACATCTTCCAGTAAGCACGCCGCGGGTCGTGTTTGAGCGGAGACTCAACGTCTAGAGGCCTTTGGCAGGCGGTGTATCGTCCAGAAAGCATATCGCCGAAGGCGATTGACAGGACGCGCATCGTCTAAGGAGGCGTATCGTCCAAGGAGGCGCATCGTCCAAGGAGGCGCATCGTCCAAGGAGGCACCATCCAGGAAGCGTGCCACCGAAGGTACTTGACGGAGTGTGCATCCTCCACGATGCCCGCTGCAGGCTAGACGCGGCGGAGGCACGTCATACAGAAGCACGATGCGTGGTGCATTTGATATGCGTTCATATGCATCCTCCGGTCAGTACTTTGCTGTCCAGGTTGAGAGACGCTGGCACAGGCCTGGGGAGCAGAGGTAGTTGAAGCCATGCAGTTTGTCACAGAACGTGTCTTGCAGGTATGCATAGAGCGGCCTGCGCTGAGAGACTTAGCGTAGCTATTCCTGCTCGCTCTCGCAACGACAGATGTCCAGGCAGTCATGTCT